CTAACACAACGAGTATAAGCTAAGACAAGGTGTAAACGCGCCAACTGCGTGAAGGACCACCGAACTTACCTCTCCGACCTGGCCCACAGACCAACTGACAGAATGCCCTACACCGGCGGCTTTTATGCCGACCGGCGACCATTTCCGGGGTCCGACGTCACGCGCCGCGACCGTTTTGTTTTTCCTTTTTTTTCCCCCTCTACCGTTTCTTTGTCCCAAATTGAACACGGACTTTCCCTTATCTTTTTAAATTATTACATACATACAAATAGATGCGTTTATGTAACGACATGTAACGTATGTGCACACCTACGTGCACTCTCTTCGAACAACAACAACAAACACCTGTCATTTGATCTACTTATTCAACATTCAAAGTTATGTGGAGTGCTACAGGAGCTCTTTGAAATGACAACGAATAACGGGTAAAGCACAAGGAGTCGACACAAATAAACTAAATATAAGTGATAACGAAAAACGAGCCGACATCTTTGATCAGTGACGGATATGCCAGTGTAGAAAACCAAATGTCAGTCTTGAAAGTAAATATACGGTAGTATATTAGTACAACAGTAAATACTTTTACTTACCATTTCCTGTGGCAGAGGGTGAGGGTGGGAGGAAAAGAGAATTTAAAATTACAAAAGGATCAAAAGGAGTACAATTTCTAGACAGAATTTTCAAAATGTACACTTCAGTCTGTACACAATAACATTTACTGTGAGTTCTGTTTTTTTATGTGAATACTGTTAATTTATTTAAAGCCACAAGCCACAAGCTGTAAATTTTAGTAAATCACGAATGACACAAATACCGAAGCTCGTACTTTTCACCTGATCAGTTCCTGGCGGGTTCTAGGAACCGGATATCTCCAACCAGCATGAGATATTTAACAATGTACTTCATGTAGTTAAACGTTCCACCGCGGGCCCAACGACTCACGTGACCATTTAACGGGCATATCGTTCGGGCCCGTGGTCGCTTTACTTGACACCGCACCCCCCTTTGGGGTGGATAGATAAATACCTGAAAACTCTCCAACATTTTATATAATTTGATAAAGCGTTTGTAAAAGCGTACGACACAGAAAGTATGGATATTTATTTAGATTTATTTCAAAATACCCTTAGTATATTGCAACATATTTACAATACATTTTACAAAAATATGAAATGCAAATGTTTACTTTTCTACCAAGGCCAACTAGTTTAAAAAAATGAAATGGGCTGCAGGTAAACACACTTATATACGTATGCAATTTGTTTCAGCATTAATACAATGGTACATTTACCATGTCGTATTCACACTATGTTTTTTCCATGAGTTCTGTTTTTTTCCTGGGAGAAATTTATAACAAACTATACAAATTTATATACAATAAAATCAGGTTTTGGCCAGTTATACTGCATAAAGAAACAAACCTCTTCCAAAACATTACCAAGATAAAAAAAACAAAAACCACAGCAGTAAAAAAAAAAACCAAAACATCAGTCATAGTATCACTGTACTGGAAAACACTGGGTCAAGAGCATTAGGCCTATATATGGCTACACCTAATGAACAGTCTGTCGCTGAAACACACGTACTTCACAACCTGACGCAGTAAAGTGAGCCGCTGGCCTGGCGTTACACATAAAAAAAAACAACAGAAATACAGGACCGAGAGCAGAAAACAAATAGCCCATCAAGTGACATAATACTTCTGACAGGAAATGTTTGCAATGTATACAATCAACAATAACTTCTGCAACAACTGAAAACCACAGGTAACAACCACGATGGTATATAATCCAATGAGTACTAAAATCTTACATGCGCGGAACATTAGCCGGGGTTCTGCTTGCAGTCGTCAGGAATGAATCATAAACATTTGTTCAAACTCAAATGAACTTTCTCTGCATTTCTTAAGTGCTCTCAAGAAACTAGAACAAAACAAAATGCACATTTGCTCAAACCCCACTCGCTTCTGTAGTAACAACGACCAGAACGACAATGAAAATAAGTGCATTTCTATGTAAATATATATCTTGTTCTTAGCAGGTATTTGCACTTACCAAATTTTTTTCTTTCTTTTTTTTTTTTTAAATGAAATGTTCCAACAGCGGTTATGAAACGAGACGGCAACACGGAGGAGAAGCGGCGTTGGTCTTACTCTCCCTCCTCCTTTATGCGCTGTTGCTTGTTGCGACGAGAATCCAAGTCGAAGGAAAAGTCGGACCACTCGTCCCGTGGTGGGAAAGATATGGTCTGGCGCAGGGTGAAGCGCACGGCGTCGATGACGCGTTCGCCGCGCGCCTCGGAGGAGCCCACGCTGACGGTGGAGGCCCCGCTGGTGGTGCGCACTATGTGGGGAGGTGGGGAAAAATCCATGGCCTGTCGATGCTCAATGATGCCCTTCCAGATGAGGTGCTGGAACTCTGCGGGGATCTTCAGTCTGGACAGGTCCTATTGGTCATTACACAGGGGAGCGTTAGTATTCGCAGGCGGAGCCACTCTTCTCTCTCTCTCTAACCCATCAATTGACTGGAGTTGGATAGGCAAGGGCTCACCTCCATGTTATAGTTCTCAATCTGGTAGATGTTGGTTAGACCCTGTGCTGTGAAGTAGTCCAAGCAGCCTGCGCAGCCCAGCCGTAAAAGGAAGCTGTGGGAGCAACATAGGAGCGACGTTCAGACTCGGCTTCTTCTTTTTAACACGCGCATTGTAATAACATTGAACCACGTATGAGAAACAGATGGAGCCTTCGGGTTATTAATGTGCAGGGATTTACGGCTTGACACCGTGATGGAGCTGCTCCTAACTTGATGTTTAAATTGAATTTGGCGTCAACATTACTGAAACTACAATGTGATGTCACAATGTGGTTTCCTCGTACAACTGCTGTTACTTGAGCTCCCTCTGGTGGTACTTAGGGGGAACCTGTAAAGTACTACATGGGCCAACTAGGTAAATGTTTGCTGAGATATGTATCTCAATACACAATATCCTAATTCTAATGTCAATAATCTGTTAATTTCTTATTTCTATTAAAACAAATGTATTGTCTCAAAACACTGTCTGTCAAGCCTATTAGTGTAAGTGGGTTATTTAACATTCTTTTTCAAATGCCTGTTTTTATTATACCCTCAGTCCATTAAAGCAAATATTAGTAGACACAAAACTAAGGATAGATGAAAGGACAGAATAAAGACAAATCAGTGGAAGGCAGGTTAAAATCAAAGATTAATCCTTCCTTATTTTAAAATGATATTGCATGGTGTTTCTTTTTTATTTAATTGATCTTAGAGTTTTCCAGATATTGAATACAGCTTCAAATTCACAAAATGAACGTTAATCCTCGTTACTGCTTTCCTTTCAGCCATCCTGGGGTCTTGATATGTGTAGTGTTGCCTTATGTGAACATTTAAAATTTAGCGGAGCAGTCAATTTCATGTTAAAAGTAGGGCACACTCTTTGGACTATCTGAAACTTGCTCCTTCAAAAGTCAGTGCTTCGCTAAAGTACCTGGAGATGCTGCTGTCCATGGGATATGGAGGTGGAGGGGTGCAATGGGAGGAAGGCACCAGGGGGAGCTGTGGCTGCAGAGCGTGTGTGGGGCTCAGTGAACTCATGTCAGCGTTCATGGGAATGGGGGTCCCCATCATGGGAGTCACTGCAGAGACAAAGGCAGCTGCTGTGAAATTTCCTCTTACTGCTCTGGGAGTTTAGACTTTCAGAAACACCACAATGGACAATCTACTGTTGACACAACACTCCGTTCACAGAGTGTTGCGCTGTTTTAAGGTGGAAAGAATCAAATTCTTACACTGTGTGCGAGGAAGGAGCTTTTTTGTGTGCGTCTACATACTGTATATGAACCTACAATAAGCCCAGGAGGAAGAGGAAAACAGCAGGAAGACAAAAACAAAAGGGGCCAACACTTACTGTCAGTGAGGCCTCCGGACATGCTGGACGGGGTGAGGGTGTTGCGCTGCTGTGGGTTGATGAGCTGGCTGACAGAGGGCAGCTTGTTGACTTTTCCGTGAGTGGGGGAACTGGAGCCAAAGCAGGGCTGAGACGGTATCGAAGTCCTGGAGAGGAAGACAAAAAACGTGCTTAGCCTTTTCACATCATGTAATTATAACATCAGTTATTGATGTTACTTTATACCACCTCCTACACCAGCATCAACTTTAATTTTCATCCACGTTTCCGTATGGACAAACCCCAATGAAAACAAAAAATTTCAAGCAAAACAAATATTTCATTTTATTATATATTGCAGCAGCCACACTGTATTGAAAATGTCTGTCAAAAAGAATTATACGTTCACATATATTTTATACAAAACACGTCTCTAGCTTCTAATAAAACATATGTTATGACTGTCCTGCAGTGATTTTATAAAACATGACCAGCATTAGTAAAAAAAAAGATAATTATTTTTACCCGAGGTCCAATTTAACAGATTAAACGAGGCCAGCTCACAAAATACATTTAGCTTTCATAAGGTTACAAATTACCATTCAAGCTAAAAGCCCTGTTCAAAGGCTTCCAATGAAAAGTGTCAAATTATTATAAGACAGCTTTGATTAAAATCATGCAAAATAACGATCTAAAAGTTAAGAAACCATCCATAGATTTTAGAGTAAACAAAGTCCAGATTGTGACGCTTTAGCCTAAGCTGGTGCTACCTCAACTCGGCGGAATTCTAAAACAGCAGCAGCAGCAGAATTAAACAACAAAAAGTTTCAGTTTCATATCCTTGGTGTTGAATCCCAAGATGGAGCAGAAAAGTTCAGAAAAAAAAGGAAGCTTGATTAAGAAGAACACAGGGAGGAAGTCCGTGTATCAAGGAGGAAGGAGCAGAAGGAGGAGGAATGGAGATTTCAGGAGAAGCTGCAGCGCCGCCTCTGCTCTCCCGCAGACTCCAGGATGCGGCTACCGAGTCGGGTTTTTATCAGACTGCGGAAGAGGAAATCGGAAAAAGGGAGAAAAAGGGAAAATAAGGGCTCGAGAAAAAAGGAGAACGGACGAGAAAAAGATTTCAAAGAGGGACCAGAGAGGAGGAGAACTATTTCAATTATTTTACATTACACACAAAAAAACAAGCCCTAGACCTTTGTGTTGCAGTTGCACAAATTGTCCAGGCGATGGCACTATGCAGAAATAAATCTCAGCGGTTCACTGCTAACAGCGCTGACAGACACGGTGATGAGAAAACCAGCCGTGAAGCAGCGGTTGTTGAGAGAAATATTTCAGGTTGACACCGAAACAAAGACTTGTTTGAGTTTGGAACCTCAGAGCAAACACAAACCAAGAGCCCATAAGGGACAATATTCTAAAAAGACTACTGAANTATCTAGTGTAGTATATCTTTCCTATCATCATTACATTATTATAAAATGCTTACATTTTTGTCACAAACTAAAATGCCATTTTCAAATGTAACAAACGTAAAGTAAAAAACTGTCCAAGGGTAAACTTGACGGAAGTGTAAGCAGTAATTATCATCATGGGTCTCAAACTATCGTTTACACCCATCTCCTCTTTTTAGCTTAAGGTGAAATGGGCGTGTGTGTATGTGTGTGTTTGTGTGCGTTTCTGAGACACTTTTAATTATGCTCACGTGAATAGTAATAGATGAGGTCGAGGCACAGATTTTTTTTTTTTTTGTGGGTTCTGTTGTGCAAACCTGGCAGAGCAGCTAAAGGCGTTACCACAAATGTTTGGAAGCTTCTCCTCAACAAAGCATAGCCAGCTACATTTGTCACGATTCATCAGCTTTGGCTCGTGTCCCGTGACAGGTAAAAAATAAAATAAAAATAAAATGGCTCTACTCCACGTAAATTTCCACCCTTCGTCGAATCCGCTTGCACTGAGCAAAACCTCGGAAAAGTCACAGCTGCCACGAGTCACTGAGCAACATCCATTTAAGGGCAATTATTATCAAACTTCATTTGTTAGCGCTGACACCACCCGCTACCCGCCTTTAACAGCAGCATCCGCTTTCACGCCAGCAGGTGAATCTGCATTGTTAAATCGATCGAGTAACTTTTACTGAGTAAAAGGTTAAAAAAAGATTCTAGTCTAAAACAAATAATTTACTTCATTTAAGATTTAATAATAAGGGAGAACAAAGAAGTCAGCGAAATGCGAAGACTACGGTGCAGAATCTCTTGCGAGAAACAATTGGCCAGAGAACAACAGAATGCTCAAAATCCATTACTCACTGTTTCTGGAGGAGATTTTGTTGCTGCTGCCGGTACGATTCTATGGTGTGCTGTGGAAGAAACTGCATCAGCTCCAAAGATTCTTTGATTTTTACCAACATCTCGTAAATTTCACGGCCCTTGATCTGGAGTGACAAAGAAGAAGATGGTGTTGGTTGGTGAGAGGCTTAGACTAGAAGGCAATAAACAAATCTGATATTTTCAGTTCCTAGCTTAAATGTCAAGTTGCCAAAGGCTAATTCTCAAAAAAAAAGAAAAATATTTGCTCAAAAGCCTCATCCCTCAAAACATTCAATGAAACACAAGATTATCCTTAAAGTTTGCAATAACAATATAATGGTTACTAGTCCATACTAGCTGTGCTAGATATGCAATACTAGCTAAATGTCAGAGCCCTCTCCCTGAAAATAATAAATCCCTTGCGCACACCTCCTCAATCCTTGTTTGTGTGTTCAGGACTTTTATTAACTTTTACTTTTTATTGGATGTAAACAGAGCTCGGGTACACACTGGATAAAGTGTGTGATGTGTGAGTTCAACTCCAATTTTTATTATATAAAAAATTATATTAGTTCCACTGATACATTTACGGGCCCCCCCAACAGTATCAAAGTGTACACACACGTACACACACAAGGTGTGAACATATGGGGGAAAAAACAAACACCTACGGGCAAACAGAACACCTCCTCGTCTGTGGATCTTCTCTTTTTGATAGTTGACATCTGTATGCCATGGGAAACCTGGCGAAAAGCTGAAACACGAGGAGAAGAAAAAATGCTTAAGTTCAAAGACCGTGTGTTGAAAAGCTGATCTGAGCCAAAGCAGCAGGTAGAAAAACAGGAAAGAGCAGCAGAGGTCCCCCAACACCGACCGCACCGAAAAGTCGTCAGCCCGTCACCGGCACCGGCACTACTTACGGCGTTTCGTACCATCGCTGCTCTTTGTGGCGTCTGTTACGTGCTGCTTGCGAATGCTGTCCTCGTCCGCCTTGCGGTCTCTGCCCGGACAGGCGCAGATCCTGGCTTCAAAGCACCGACGGCCTAATACTTGACCGCTGACAGACAAGAGCGCGGTCAGAAACAACTTACGACCAGGACCGGCGCCTCTAGAGGATGAGGAGAAAAAGTTTGTCTCTTACTCTCTGGTTTCCAGGGTGACAATGATGAGAATGGGGCGTCTGTTCATTCCACCCACACAGCTGGAGTTGCACATGAAGTTGTATAGGATTGTGGTGAATTCTGTTCCAACCTGAGGAGAAACATTAATTCAGGTGAGTGACAGCCCTTCAAAATGCGTGGAAAAAAAATTATATTTTATATATATATTAGTTTGTTTTTTCTCTAAAATTACTTAAAATAAAACAGCACTTTTACCATTACAGTTAACCTTTTTATTTTGTTACAATGTCAATTGGGAGAAGCACTTCATTCCATACAGTCCAAAAACCAAATACCGCTACGACCGGCTCTGTTTCGCTCGTGCTCACCTGTGGAGGTTCGTAAGGCACTAAAACACTCTGTCTTCCAGTGATGGAGTCCTCCACATACTGGGCATGGCTGTTCCCCTCCACACGGATCAGGTGACTGGGAGGTGCGATTTGACCTGGGAGGGAGGGTCAGGTGTTACTGATTAGGTCAACTGAGTGACATGTTTTACAATAAAGAAACTCAGAACTCACCGTCGTTGAACTCGCGGCTCAGCTCGTGGTTTGGGCAGCGTTTAACCACTTCGGTCACATGTTCGGCTTTCTTATAAACAGGCATGGCTCGGACCACGGCGCCCTGGGGGGGTGTAGTCAGGACCTTGATCTGAATGGGACACGTTTTGGCGATTTGGCAGTACAACTTCTTCAGATCGGTGGAGTACTAGAGGGGAGAAGAACACAAAGACAAAGATGCTGCTGAGGGGCTGTAAAAATGACTTTTTCATCTACATTTCAAAACTAGACATCAGTTCGCTAACGATCACCGTCTTCACCTGTGAACTTCTTGCGTTTCCCCTGCAGCACAAGGTTTATAGACAAGACTGTGATTATAACCTGCCCAAATAAAGGCGCGCGCACACACACACTTTGGTTGTGAGAGGCAGAGAGCCCGTGGGACTTCTTGGGAAGCACCATAAAATTGACCCCTTCCAGCCACAATTACACTAGGCATGGCTTTCATCTTCCAAAAGAGGAGTAGCCCACTGGTACTCCTACAGGCCGATCGTCAGGCACGGCAGAACCTCTGAACAGCCCTGCAGGTGAACATTTGGGTCCAGCTTTACGTGCGGAGCTATTTCTTTTTTTTGTTTTAATTGCAGGAGTAAAGGGTCAAACACAAGAGTCAGAGTCAGTTGCCAAACTGGTAAAACTTTTAAGTGTGTGCACTGGGTGTCGAGAACCCAGGATGTAGCTGTGGTTGTTCAGAAAGAATTCCTCGTTACTAATAACAGAGTCTGAGTTTGAAGAGGAGAGTGTCTGTATGTAGAAAAATACATTTACAAAAAGGGGAGGGGGGAATACACGCAGACAAAAAAAAATTCCACCTTGATTACGTTTAGTTCCAAAGGCAACCCATTCTTCTCCATACCTGCCGGTGCAAAGTTTAAATGTTGCGCAAACTTGGCGTGAACATTTTACACTTGGATCCCCGGGCACATGCCTTACCTTTCATCAGGGCAGACTCAAGACACACTCCTTCTCATCTCTAACGTACAATGCCTCACTACCAACTACTAAGCTCTGTATGGAGATGGTTGGATCTACTCTCGCGGGCCGGTTAATGAGTCCCTGTGACCTCAGTATAAACTGGAGGATAAAACTAAATCAGTCTAAGAGGACTCTGTTTCAACACACCTCCAGTTAACATGATATGCTGACAGTTCAAGCTCTGAGGCATTTGCGACGAGTGAAATGATTCTTCCTCAAATGTCAGAGGAGTTTAAAAGAAGACGATTTTTGATTTTGAAAAGAACAGAAAGAAGAAGACAATTCAATTTTTTTAAATAACACCAAGAACAACAAGTAGAAGAACAAAAAAACAAGACAAACGTTTGTAGTTGTCCTCCCGCTTCAAACCTGATACTCCCTGTGCACTTCTGTCAATCACTTAAATGAGGTGGGGAATGCAAGCAGAGGGAAAGAAAAGGAGGGAGCACGAGACAAAGAGTAAAACAAAAGTCGAGTCTGAATGGTTGGTGTGTAGACTTTATACCTGGCTCTTGTTTTTGTACAGTTGAAGGCAACTCTAAACAGCGAGATTTAATCACACAGTTGAGGCCTCGTAGATCGTATCCTGCCGTCTCAAAATCACCGCTTTGCACACACACATTGTAAAACCGCCTCAGCCCTGCAGCTACAAAGTATGGGCACAGAGTTATGCGCTGCCGCTGCCGTGTTTGCTCAGCGTCGAGAGCTGAAGCCGCCGCCGCTGACTGCTGAAAGCAGAGGCCGAGCTAAAACTAACGCTGCTGAGGGTGGAGGCCGTCCAGTTGACTGATGGGATTCAGTGGCTCAAACAGGGTGCGGTGTTCAGGTGTTAACATGTAATTATGAGTCTTTCTTTGGTCACAATGCGAAACGCACGGTTCCCAACTGCTGAGCTGCTTAATCGCAACCATTTCCAAGTGTTTACAGGAGCCGCACGTGACGCGTTGTTCGTCTGGCACGTTGGGCAAAAAAACATATTGAATGAGCGGCAGAAGCTGTATTTACAAACACTGTCGTCTTTACTGCTGCCGCGACGCCCACGTCCACACAAACTGTGGCCGGTTAACCCCTTCAGTTTGGAAAACCGACGTTATAATACTATATATGCATTCTTACAAAAATCGCTAAATACCATTTGTTCAGGAACACAAACATGGCTACGCGTATGGGATTACTTTCTAACATATACAGCACTTGAACACACAAAACACACACTTCCCGTGCAGCGCGAGTCGAGGCAGGCCCACAGCTGTGGCGTTCTTTTCTCTCTGACAAGCGCTGCGGGCGCATGCAGAAGTCAAGTCCTGACAAACATCAGACCTTAAACAAGCACTGTTTGGCGCCTCTGGTCTTGTCTGCCTCATACCTGACATGTCATGTCATGCCTGGAGCTTCTCCCAAACCTATTTAATTCAGCAATATTACTCAGGATGTTTTTTTCCCCCTCGGTCGACAGATTTTTTTCCCCCTTTTAAATCAAAGTTAGAACATAGACTTCTCAGGATAAAACGATGGCTCAAGGTAAACTAAAATACACAACCAAAACCTTCGGCTAATAAGTGACGCTGTGTTGTAGTCATTTGTCTCAATAGTGACCCTGTCTTTATTCTCGCTGACACCTGTCCCAAGGCAAACCTACGTATTGACGTGCAGGGTCACATCTGTGAAGCATGTGTCAAATATGCCTCTGTCACACTTAGGGATGCTTGCCCTCTCCACTTGTTAATATTGCTGATCTCCTTTCATTCATACGGATGTGAACATGTTTTTCTTAAGGCCTGAAACTTCAAACGTGTTGGTTTAATTCCTCACATCGATAATCAAACAGTGACTTTTGATAACAGTACGATTTTTTTACTCGCAACAAACTCATTTTTTTACACCACATTTCTGTCCTCTGTCGTTGTTTATTATTCTAACCTGCCTATCACCAAATCTGACACAAAATGCTCTTTCCCACATAAAATATTATAATTAAACTTTCTTTTGTACTTCCACCTTTTCCCATCTACAGCTCACAGGACGTCTTCTTGCGACGGGCGAGTCGTGACAAGCTTCTTGACACAAACAAGTCTCGGCCCCATCTTGTGAGGCGTGGGATGGGCCCGCAGATGTTCCAGGGGCAAGCTGAGTCTTGCTTCCTTTCGCTAGAACACTCTTCTCTTTGAGCATTCAACGGCCCTCCTCCTCCTCCGGCGCAATGTGAGATGCAACCATCAAGCTTAACTCTCTCAAAAAGACAGAGCCCACTCCGGGAGCACAGGGTTCAGGAAAGAGGCACAGAGTATTTACACAAGTATTATCTACAGGCCCTCAATCCATTACTGTAATCCCCCAAGCTCCGCAGCACCCCACCGATAGCCCTAACCGTGACATTCCTCTCCTTTGACGACAATACATGGAGGCAGTGAGTACGCACGACAAAAGTAACCGATCTCGAGCCCAATGTTTAACGCCGACTGCTGCCTTGTTTGCAACGCTTCGATTAATTTAGTCGGGTGAAGAACCTAGAGCCAAACGCCGGTTTTTCCTGTATTCGTGTGACAGATCTGTGTGTTTTTCTCATAAATAATAAAGGCGGGGAAACAATGGTGATTGCCAACGAGGAAACAGTGTGGGAGCAGTTCTGGGAAATGTTGAGATGTTGTATCTTTGTGTGAACGCGTGCGTGTGTCACAGTCATCCCAGACAGTGAGATGTTAAGGTGTGGGTTAAAGATTAGGTGTGTCTCCATGAGAACAGTCATCAAAAAGCTTCAGTACACAGTCGTGTTAAGACCTTTGGAAGATCCCACAGGCCTTCAAAAAGGTGAGCATTAGCAGACCTTTGCAAAGAGCAAAGCCGTCCTGGTGACTTCTTCAGAGGTTCACTGCTATCCGTCCATCAGGCCAACAGTCAAACTACACCCTTGAGATTATGAGAGCTTTGCGACAGATCTCCCGAAATCACGTGAACGAGTTCCCTCCGAGATGTGAGCCATCCCTGAAATCACTATCTCTGCACAGTAGAGGGATTAAGTGGAAGGATTTTAGTGACATAAACTGTATAATAGGGTAGTGCTGGTGGGTGTTTTTCATCCAGGCCAATGAATGACAAAAGAATCAAACGATGTAAATTGAATAGAAACAAGTATAAAGTTCAACAGCACGGCAAGTTGGCAAAATATATTCCTGCAACGAATTCACTAATGAGTCAAAATACTTAAAGTTTCAACGTCAAGATTCAACTTGAACTGTGCATTATTATTATTATGTTTTTTAGATGATAACAAATAAATATATATCGTACGCATGTCAATGTTTTTAAACAAAATCTCTTCCTTAACACACTGAAGCATGAAGGTTGTTGAATCATTGATTTCAAATCCAAAACGTTATATATGAAATCAACCCAAAATAACCAGTCTTACATCATTGGTTATGACTGTGGGACACAGAGTCTATGACATATCCTGTATCCTAGGTTTTGGGGCGTGCCTCTCACTAACCACACTCCTCACCTACACGCAGTTGCACATCAGAAAAACACTTTTGTTTTTTTGATGGTGAAAATGAGAGGGAAGAGCGAGGCAGTCTGGGAAATAGGTAAATGTCACAATCCCACACTTAGGGAAGATCGCCCAGCACTCCCTGAGTTCAGGCTGTTTACTTGGAAGACACAATCGAGGCAATGCCTTATGTTTAGCAGGTTTTAAAACAGCAGGTGTGGTGTGGCAATTTCTTTAATCCAATTGTAATTACTGATTTTTTTTTTTTTTTGATTACCATTAATTACCATTTCCATTTTATATGGCTTTTAACTCCCACAAAGACAAGACCTTAAAATTAACAACCAGTACATTTAGACATCCTGGTCGACATTTAAAATAACAAAATCAGAGTAAAGCTATGTCCACCACGGTTCACTAAGTACGTACACATAACTGCAGAGTCGTGCCGCTCCGGAGCATAAACGACCCAGCCATCAGCGCTCTGATGCAACAGCTGTCCCTCGGCCTTGTCATACATAATGACAGAGCAGGAAGAGCCGGTCGTGTAGCTTTATGGAGCATCAGATGGTGATATCTGGCTGCACAGGACATCACCACACCTGGACTAACCGTTAAATGTGTTTACCTCTATCATCAACAAGGAACCTTGACTGTGTTGTGCTTCAGCTGAAGTCTGAACTTCACTAAACTTTTCTCACTGAGAACCAACCACTCAAATCAACGATGAATCCGTGGGCGATCTATGCATTAAATGCAGAACATATTACAAATTTACAGGTGAAAGTCTAAGGTTTAGGCAAAGTAGGTTTTACTTATGATTTGTAGACGGGGATGTTCGCTGAATTTCTTTCATGCCAAACAGGATTGTGCAACACAGGACTGATATGTACCAAAATGTGCCTAAAGCACAAATCTCAAGATGAAGAATCATGAGTCAAAATGTCTCTTTTTATTAGCTACTTTGAATGTTCTCACCAGGGGAGGTCAGGTTCTGAAGGCAGCTATCACATTCGGAGTGGAAATTTATTATTGTGGTAAATTTCCATCATTCCATTATTTATGGTGCTTTTTAATTATACTGTACATAAAAGGACCGTAAGCCCTTTTAGGGGAACATTAATGTACTGTTCCCCTAAATTTAGGATTAAAAATGAAACTTTACTCCAAGTTTCTTTTGTAACCAAAAGAAACTTGCACACATAGAAAAAACACATCAGGATTCAAACCACAGACTTTTGCCTCTTGCAGTAAATAGGTCAACTGTTCTGTATTAAACTTTGGCCTTTACATTTTCAAACTACTACTTCGAGCTGCATACTCTATACAGTGATATAAAAACAACGATTTCTTCTCTAACGAGGAGAAACATTTCTAAACACAACAAGCCATTTTACCTCATCACTGTTATGCATGGCCAAATGATGTTATGCATGTTAAAAA